GAGATAAGGTGCATGGTTTAGAGGTATGGCTACGACTACGATTTAGTATAATGCGCGATAACTACGCGTAGATCATGCTTAAATCCGATTAAAATGCCGATTCTGGATAAAAATCCGTTTTCAATGTCAATTTTCGTTTGTGTTTAAATTTGAAGTATAGGTGGTGATTTTGGTTTTGGTTTTTGTTTAGAGAAAATAGACATTACTATCAACATTGCGCCCGTTGTATTCTTCCTCAGGATAGACTGAGGCGCCAAATCGCACCCTGCCGGGCTGCTTGATTGGTTTTAGAGAACAACTATAATACTACATCTTAGCCATATAGACCTACTATGGCACTCTTCAAAACAAACGTATGCGCCATAGCGCTCACGGGAAAGCCCTGGGCGCCAAACCCGGAGGAAACGCTTGATTCAACAGAGTCAAAACCTTTTTTTTAAACGAACGTAGTCCTCATAGGGGAGCCCGGGGTGCTTCAGGTCACGTAATAGCCCGGACGCCGGCGGCTGCGTCTCTTGCAGACTTACCGCGGATTATAGTAATACTTCTTACACACTATGCAGGGCGCCCAATTAACGGATACCAAGTGTTAAGAAAACCACTCTAGAACTCTGGACGCCAAGTCGTATATTTACAAAAATCGCGGGCGACGCCTATAAAATTTTTAATTTTCTTTTTTGCGGAAACCTCCCGTGATGTGTTCTTATCATCTCACCAACGTTTAATGGCGATTGGTTGAACGGTGCCATCCGCAATCAACTTTTATATACCGTATATAGAGAAGATTCAAATCACTCCCGGTCAGGGCGCCATCTCTGCGAATTGGTATTTTTTTTTCACAGAAACTTCCTTAGGAGTATTCTCAACAACTTCCCAAAATTTCATGGCGATTGGATGAAAGGTGTAGTCATGCATAAAAGACATATAAACAAACAAACACACAAACATACTTTCATTTATATACATATATAATAGCGTACCCGTCCCCGCGCGTTGCTGCGGGAATGGAAGAAAGTCCGACGAAATATATAAGAAGAGTTTCATCCATGCAATACCAATCCTATATTCTTAGACGCGTGACCTTGTTTTCTAAAAGTGACTTATTTAAATGTAAACAATGCCTGCGCTTGAATCATAAATATCAGGACACGGGTTTACATACACTACCGCATGAAAACCTTGAGTGTACATTAATCACTCACCGAAATAATATGGTAGAACACACTTCGGCGACCGCCCATGTGTCAGAGACGTAGAGGCCCACTCTCAGGAGCCCCCCCCCCCCCATTACACTACCGCATAGGCGCGGCGTACGACCCTTGGCTCCTTAAACTAACAGATGCCATCGTGCAGTTTGCGTCATTCTCTAAAATGACACAAATGAACAGGATGTGTTATTTAACACGTAAAAAAATTATCTGACGCGTTTTAAACATCAGGGTGACTGATGCAATATGTTAACGTTACTAATGGTCTATTCTTAGATGCTCGATCTCAATTTCTGACTGGATCGTCTAATAATAGATGCTGATTGCATCATCCGCAAAGTGACGAAACTCTACAGTAGGCTCCTCATATTCAAAAAGTTATTTTTTCATCTTTCGCAAGGTGACGAAACTGTACAGGATTTCCTCGCGTTACAAAGTTATTTTTAGAAGCATGTTGTAATTTTACCGTTAAATATAGTAGTACCCCTTACTCTCTATGCAGGACGCTCGATTAACGGATGCAAAGTGCCAACATAGTCGCTCTAAAACTTTGGGCGCCAAACTGTGTATTGACGAAAGTTGTACACTATATGGCGCCGCCAATAAGAAACTTTAGTTTTCTTTTTCGCTGAAATATTCTCGGGAGTATTCTCATCTACTCCCTAAAGTTTCATGGCACTCGGATGAACCGCATCCGAGTTTTATTTTTTATATACCGTGTATAGAGAAAAAAATCGCTCCCCCGGGGGCACCGCCCTTTCAATATTAAAAAAAATATTTTCAGAACCCTACCATTGAGTGATCTAATCATCTCCCCAAAATTTCATGGTACACGGATGAACAGTGTGAAACCGAAATAGACTTTTATTTTTGTAAACAAAGCGCGCCCTGCCTGGGCGCCACCCTGGCAAATTTGAAAATGTTTTTAGCGCAGAAACCTCCCCAGGAATATTCTCAACATCTTCCCAAAGTTTCATGGCGATCTGTGAACGGTGTCAAGGCGATTCACTTTAATTATTTATATATACGGTATATAGGAAAAATCGCACCCTCCCTTGGCGACGCCCTTGTGAAATTAAAAATGATTTTTAAAGAACCCTTCCTTAAAGTGTTCTAATGAACTCACCAAAGTTTGATAGCGATCAGATGAATGGTGTCAAACCGAAATCGACTTTTTATTTTTATATACCGTATATAGAGAAAAACAAATCGCGCCCTGCCGGGGCGCCACCCCTGCGAATCTGAATTTTTTTTTTCGCAAAAACCTCCTAAGGAATATTCTCAACAACTTCCCAAAGTTTCATGGCGATGTGATGAGAGGTGTAGTAATGCATTAAGGACAAACAAACAAACAGACAGACGCACATACATTGCTTTATATATATATATATATATATATATATATATATATATATATATATATATATATATATATATATATATATATATATATATATACATATATATATATATATATATATATATATATATATATATATATATATATATATATATATATATATATATATATATATATATATATATATGTATATATATATATATATATATATGTGTGTGTGTGTGTATATATATATATATATATATATATATATATATATATATATATATATATATATATATATATATATATATATATATATATATATATGTATATATATATATAAGGTATATATACGATGTTATGGAAGGACAAACTTATATCCAATAGGTGGAGAATAACTGTAACAACAGAGCATTTTACACAAAACTTGAAAACCCAAAAATGCTAAATAGAAAAATCTTTTTAAAAAGTTTATTTTTAAAAAATGATTTTGTAAACAAATTACCCGGAATATTCTAGGAATACATGCGGGATCTGAGTTGTAAGCATCTTCCCATTTCACTGAACCAATCTTTAAGAGTTTCCTGTAACAGAAAATGTAGTATACATACGTTTAATATTAAAATATAGGTTATTCACAAATTATTTAGACTTTTTGCGCACACATGTTCAAACATACACATTACCAACTTAGTCTAATCTATCTATCTATTTATCTATCTATCTATCTATCTATATTCAACTAAAACTCAAATTTGTATATTCATTTTTTTTAATCTACACTATGTGAAGAGCTGTAAAATACGTATTTAGGTAGAGAATAATGTTCTTTTTTACTAAACTATTAAACACAAATTTATTTAAATACATTAATTAATTTATTGATATATTCATTGGTAGAAACACCACTTCAATTATAAAAGTTCGGAACAATGACTTTATTTATAGTGACGTCACATGATTCATGTAATTTTTACAACAAACATGACGGCTTTCATGTTGCCCATTCAAAAGTTTAACACATTATAAAGCTAAATTTTCTTTCGGTTATAGCTTTAACGATACGTCTGTTTGCTATTTTTTAAAGGTTTTAACACTTTTATAAATTTTTAACAGTTATTCTAATTTAAGTATACAATAAATTTCTCTAGATCTAATCTAGAGATTAGCTGTCGGAGGAAGGAAAAGTCAAAGTATAACCTAGATCTAAATCTAAAATCTAGGCCAAATAAAAGCAATTATAAAAACACAATAATTTTTTAGTTTCTTTATTAAACTATGTTAGTGTTTCAATATTTGATAGAAATCTTTGCTTTTTAGCTTCAAGGATCATCTAATTCATCCATCTAGATTCTAGATCTAAAGGCACGGAAAAAACTAGACTTAAGCTAACCGTAGATTCTAGATCTAGATCTAGCTCTACATAAATCTAGAATCTATGCTAATAATGAGTTTCTATACTAAACAATTTCAGGCCTTAATTATTTTATATAAATCTTTGTTTGTTTAGCTATGGAATAGGCTAGTTTAAGATAAATTTAATTTAAAATAATGGGCCTATTCGCGTAACTCAAGTTTCTTACGTCCCACTAATTTTATACTTAATCGGGAGTGCCTAGATACTTTAGTTGACAGTGTAATAGTTACCATGCGGGTGGTACGGGTTCGAGACACATCATGTCAATGTTAATTTTTTTATTTCTTTTTTTAGATGTGAATTATAGAGTTGCCTATCGGGACTTGGTGGGACACGGGGCAGGTGAAGTAGAGTTTACTTGTTTCTGTGTTCTCAGCATATAAAAATATAGTGTGGTCAGACCCACGCTCAGCAGAAATAGGTGTGTTAAAAGACAATAACATGTTCCCTGAGGTGTGACGTCTTTTAATGTGGGGTCTGATTATTTGGGAAATTGTTTGCCTCTTCCCCAAAGCCTTGCCATCCGGCTTGTTTTCTGATGCCCTTAGTGAGTCTGCAGAAGACGGACCGGTCCAGTCCATAATATCATCCATACATCTTCAACGTTGTTACCCTTGTTTCTGTGCCTTGCAGCAATGTCTTCCAAAAGCCGCTGGATCATGTCACGTGTCCATACCATCTGAGTTTTTTGCCTTGACAGTGCTGAGCAAATCCTTAAAAAAAATGTTTTTTTCAAGGCCTTCGAAGGCCTTAAAACGGCATGCACTGTGGATCAGCATAATCTAACATCTATAATAGGAAAGAGGACAGCTGAGAAATTGGGATTAATGACCATAAACAACGACATATTTAGAATTACGGTCTAAAGAGCTGGCGTGCAGTAATTTCCGGATAGTCAAATCCTGACTTAGCTAGATCATCGCAATGCCGCGACTCTTCAGATGCAAAGGTCAGTACTAAAAAATAAACAGAAGAATTCAGCTATCGACTAGCTCAATCGGGCTCTTCATGGGAGAGTATATTTATTACTTACTCGATATCGAGTGCAGTTATTGGATCTGTAATGTCTTTATCCTCTTCTGTGTTGAAGAAAAGAACTTTAAAATTGCTGACAACAACATACTGCTTCCTCCAGCCATGCTTCTTTATGTTATTTCGGTTTGGTACCTTTAGCCATCCCTCCATTGTGGCTGTATAAACAAAGTAATTAATTATTAATAATTAATATACAACTAATAGCTAAAGATAGTCAGACATTGTTTGCAAAATTACGACATTTAACACTCAATTATAATGTACATTATTACATTTTAAACTACATTTCTCCATTATTGTCAAATTTAAGTAGTTTCATCAAACAATCTTATATATATAGCATGTTAACCTTTATGAGTTTCTAAATAATACTATAGGCCATAGGCATAACACAGACAGTATCCTAATATATAATAGCCCATGTGCGCATTTCTCTCTCTCTCTCTCTCTCTCTCTCTCTCTCTCTCTCTCTCTCTCTCTCTCTCTGTCCGCAAAATATTTTCGCCGGACATCACATCAGAATCTGTAGCGATATATGAAGAACTTTATACGGACTTTTGTTGAAAATAATATGTTAGATGTTTTAAATGCATAACCACAATTTTATTTAAAGAAGAAAATTATAAAATAAAGGCGTATTCGAATGTAGAAAAACAATTTATGGATGTGAAAAAGAACGCATAAATCTGTGACGTCACTAATGTTTATACATTAACTAATGACGTCATCTGCCGTGTTTAGAATAAAAAGAAATTAACCATTACATTCAAATTAAATTTAGATCTACGTACACTATGAAATTTATACAATACAATTTTTCCGGCCTAAACTCATAAAATTTATTTGATTTATTTGGATTCTAGATCTAGAGATTCAAGATCTAGACTAGATTTAAATCTACGGAATAACTAGACGAAGACGCTAAGATCTAGAATTAGACTCTAAGTAAAGTAAAGTATCCCTTTCAAACCTGATGGTCTGTGGGGCAAGTGAAGTAGAGTTCACTTGTTTCTGTGACCTCGGCATATGAAGACATAGTGTGGTCAGCACTATGCCCAGCCGCCTTTACTTTCCCTCAGGGACAGTCTACTGACTTGAACCCTGATTCCAACTTGAGACTTACGGGTTAGTAGTCCAGCTCTCTACCGCTAGACCACTCCGCCCCTAACTCTAACTAGAATCTATTCCAAAAATAAATTTCTATATTAGGACTAAACTATTTTAAGACTTAATTATTTTATACAAAATCTTTGTTTGGAACTGGCTAATTTGGGATAAAAAAATTAATTTGAAAGAATAGGCATATTCGCGTAAGTTAAGATTTTAAATACGTCTTTCATTCTCCGTGTTTTATAATGTGCCTAAATAGCTGAGATGATAGTGTACTTAAAACCACGCAGGTGGTGCGGGTTCGCGACAAACCAAGTCAAACTTGGTTATCTATTTTTTTTTATTTTGCTCGGGCTAAACTTTAAAAAAAAAAATTCTATTAGGATTCTAGATCTAGATATTCTAGATCTAGATCTAGATGATCTAGATCTACGGAAAAACTAGACTTACACAGATGTAGACCCTACCTAGATCTAGAATCTATTCAAACAATACATTTCTATACTAAAGTATTTTAGGCCTTAATTACTTTATTGAAATCATTGTTTATCTATGCAATTTGCTAATCTCTATAATATATAAAGCAAAGTTGTCGGGTGCCCGATAGGGCACTTCCCGGCGCCGGATGCGCTTTAAATTTGGCAGGATCTTGCCTTGGGGCGACAGAACACTGGAACCGGTTGGCCGATAAGTCTACGATGAGGGGGTCAAAACTGACCTCGACTGACCGGCGCCTTATATGAGCTATAAATCGAAAAAAAAATGTCCACGGAGGAACCTCTTCATAACTCCTGAGGTCGTAGACCGACCCTCGGGCGAATTAATTAAGCATTCAAATTCTCAATGTTTTCGAAAGCCTTAGCGAAGCTGGGCAGCATGCCTAGTCTATAATATAAGCGGCCAGGTAGTGTGTCAGTCCTTCCTTCTGTCATCGCTATATATTTTGGAACCATAAAAGTAAACATCGCACGATGCAGTGCTTTTCAGTGCATCGCAGTGTCTTATTATAAGTAATAAGGTAGGGTTTGTTTATAAAACGACATAAAGTTATTTTATAGTTGCCACTGTTTTTACTCTTTTGCATAACGAAAAAAAAATATTAAATACACGCACATTGCTAAAGCCTATTAAAAGGATCAATGTCAAATATCATTTTCGTATATATACCTAGAAGAAGTGGATACATTTTAATAACATAAATACAGTAGGGTAGAAACATCTAATTAAACTGTTTAGTAATTTTTTCCGAAGAGCCTGGTACGTCGGACTCCCAATTCCCCAACATTATAGCGTGGGGGAGGTGAGGTGCAAGACTGCCGGGAACCAAAAGGGGTCTGCTCTCGACCCTAACCAGATACTTTGACTTTAAGCTGCGGCCGTCACGTGGCTTCGGAAGAGTGCCATTAGTCGGACCAAGCCCATGAACCCCCCCCCCCCCCAGTGGGTGCGGAATGGCTAGTGGTAGCTAACAGCAGCTAGAGGCTTTTGATCTGGCCGACCGCCCCCCCCCACGATCAAGCTGGGTACCAGACGGCTGGTGGGTGGGGAAGGATAGCCCGGTGAGAGCCGACGGAGAAGCGACCGACGTGTAGCGATCAAACCGACACTAAACGACTTGCTACTAACACCATGTGTCGGAGTTTTCTACACTAAAGCCTGCCTGGCTTATGGGAGTCAACCTCCTGAACCGGTTTCCGTATATATATATATATATATATATATATATATATAGAGAGAGAGAGAGAGAGAGAGAGAGAGAGAGAGAGAGTAATTTTGCCAATCGAGGTAATTTAAAAATGTGAATGCAAAATCTCCAAGACGGAATAATTGTTGGAATAATATAATTAGCAAAATGTGAATGCAAATTATGCAGACGTGTAAGAGTAAATTATTGTTGGAGTATTATAATTAGCATTGATTGATAAAAGGCTATCTTTTATTTATTTTATTCACTGAACGTGATGTTTACTAATTATAATTTTTAATCAACTATTCCCCATTATTATATAAAGTCATCACGTTCATTAGGTGCGCAATGGTTTTAGTCATGAAACTTTATTATAAATTTTAAAAAGTAGGGTCCTACTGAAAAAATGCATGAATTTATGAAGTGCAATATGGTCGGTAAAACACGAATATTCTAAATACTGCTTTTAATTTATTTTATACAGTGAACAAAACTGTTTACTAATTATTATTCTATCTTTCGGTTTGCAGACAAGCTAGGGGTTCTATAGCAGAGGCATAGCGAGGGGGGGGGACATATGTCTCCGGGCGCCGATCTTAGTGGGCGCCAAAATGGGTTGGAAAAACAAATTGAAAATTTGCGGGGGAGGGGGTGCAAATCGAAAGTTTGAGGGGGTGCAAATCAAAAGTTTGAGGGGGGGGGGGGGTATTGCAAATCAAAAGTTTGAGGGGGTGGGGTGTGCAAATCGAAAGTTTGATGGAGGGGGGTACAAACGAAAGTTTGTCCCCGGGCGCCGGGAAGGGTAGCTAGGCCTCTGTTTTTTAGTCATTCACTGAGTCAGGCGCGTCCGCCGGCTCTCTTAAAGGTAGCGATTTGGCGCTACGGGCTAGACTGAGCAATATGCCTTTATGATTGCATTTAAATTGTGTTTATGGTATGAGTGTTGTGTTTGTTTTTTCGTTTGTGTTTTTTTATTGCGTTCGTTTGTGTTGGGGTTAGTTTTGTTCTGTTCCCAAGTTGGTACACTTAAAAAAGATTTACCGTGTCAAAAAGTCTTTTAAGAGGAAATTTGACAACTCCCGACAATAGTGGAGTGGGGGGGGGGTGCAAATTTGAGGGGGGGGAATGTAAATCAAAAGTTTGAGGGGGGGGGGGTGCAAATCGAAAATTGATAGTGTGGTTGTGTTGTGGTTGTGTTGTAGTCGTGTTGTGATTGTGTTGTGGTTGTATTGTGGTTGTGTTATGGTTGTGTTGTGGTTGTGTTGTTGTTGTATTTTGTTTGTGTTTGTGTTGTGTTTTTGTTTGTTTTTTATGCTGGAAAGGCTCTATTTGGGCGCGGGTGCCTAGGAAAGCGTGTTGTTCGGTGGTGATTCGAATGTTGTGGTTGTGTTGTGGTTGTGTTGTGGCTATGTTGTGGCTGTGTTGTGGCTGTGTTGTGGTTGTGTTGTGGTTGTGTTTTTTGTGTTTGTGTTGTGTTTTTGTTTGTTTTTTTATTCTGGAAAGGCTCTATTTGAGTGCGGGCGCTTAGGAAAGCGTGTTGTTCGGTGGTGATTCTAATGTTGTGGTTGTGTTGTGGTTGTGTCGTGGTTGTGTTGTGGTTGTGTTGTGTTTGTGTTGTGGTTGTGTTGTGGTTGTGTTGTGGTTGTGTTGTGGTTGTGTTGTGGTTGTGGTTGTGCTGTGGTTGTGTTGTGGTTGTGTTGTGGTTGTGTTGTGGTTGTGTTGTGGTTGTGTTGTGGTTGTGTTGTGGTTGTGCTGTGGTTGTGTTGTGGTTGTGTTGTGGTTGTGTTGTGGTTGTGTTGTGGTTGTGTTGTGGTTGTGTTGTGGTTGTGTTGTGGTTGTGTTGTGGTTGTGTTGTGGTTGTGTTGTGGTTGTGTTGTGGTTGTGTTGTGGTTGTGTTGTGGTTGTGTTGTGGTTGTGTTGTGGTTGTGGTTGTGGTTGTGGTTGTGGTTGTGTTGTGGTTGTGTTGTGGTTGTGTTTTGGTTGTGTTGTGGTTGTGTTGTGGTTGTGTTGTGGTTGTGTTGTGTTGTGGTTGTGTTGTGGTTGTGTTGTGGTTGTGTTGTGGTTGTGTTGTGATTGTTTTGTGGTTGTGTTGTGGTTGTGTTGTGGTTGTGCTGTGGTTGTGTTATGGTTGTTTTGTGGTTGTGTTGTGGTTGTGTTGTGGTTGTGTTTTTCTTGGTTTTGTTCTGTTCCCAAGTTGGTACATTTTAAAAAGATTTACCGTGGCGGAGCACGGGTATGCAGCTAGTTATTTTATAACATACTTAGGTAAATTTTTAAATTAACTAATATGCAAAAACATGACGCTTGCATGACATGTGTTAAAGTGTTGCTGTGTTTTACAAAATAATTAAAGTACCT